TTTTTTTGTGTGTGTGTGTGTGTGTGTGTGTGTGTGTTGTCATATTCGCTATGCACTCAAAAAAAGCATGACTGTACCGAACAGACTGTTTCGTCGGACTTTCACTGACTCATCAGGAGGTTGAACCCCGACAGTCTGCCCAGGATGCATTTGACTGATGGATAAGGACGCACCACATCGCCCAGAGTTAGCCATACCCCTGAGAGAAGTGGTCGACTTTACTCACACCAACGTTCCAAGCAATCCTAGCAGACTGCGGGTCCAAACCCCTGACAAGAACCGTAGTAAGTCTGAGAAACTAATCTGACAAAGTCATAAAACCCACTCTACACACCCACTCAGCCATGGACACCCAATGGCATGCGCACGTGTGTTTCGTCATGTTTGCTAGACATAACTCCGCAAACAAAAAGATGTAAGGGGAAACGGTGGCTGTGTCACACTTTAGTTTGAAATATCAGGCAAGAAAAGACAAAGGGGCGCTGTAGTCAATACTAGTCATGTCGTGAGTTTGGAAAATGAATGTGCAAGTTTGGAAAATGAATGTGCAAGTTTGACGCTGGTTTGAAACCGTAGCAATCATCAGCCGCTGAGTGAATGCAGTCTTAGGGTTGCCTTTTTCCCCATTTTTTGGGAACTGCTGAAGTTGCCCAATGCATTCTGAACATGGGTTGTGAATTGAAAATACTTGTCCCCTAAGTTTTAAATGCAATTGAGTCATTTCGGAAAAATGCCATGTTGGGTGTCGCTGAGGCATCTCGGCCGTGGCCCAGCACGGGGGGCCAGGACAGGCCTGAATATGGCCCAAATAATGCCAGGTGCAGCCATGGCCACCAGCTAGACCTCTTGGCCTCTTTTCCAGGACCGTCTAGGCCCTGGCCCTCTTGGCTTGTCGCTGGAAAAATTTCAGTTGTCGATCTGATATATAGATCCACAGCTGGAATGTCTCCTGAGGCAAGTCAAGAGGGCCAGTGCCTAGAAGGCCCTGAACGACGTGGCCACTGACACAGCTCTGCCAAAACGTACGGGACTAGACTGCGTTTAAAGACTGCAAAGTCCTCTCTGGTTTGCAAACAGAAACTAAAAAGTATCATGCGGCAGCAGTTACTTATTAAAAAAAACATGACTGTACCAGTCTGCTTCCTTGGACTTTTGCTGACTCATCAGGAGGTTGAATAGAAGTGTGTGTGTGTGTGTGTGTGTGTGTGTGTGTGAGAGAGAGAGAGAGAGAGAGAGAGAGAGAGAGAGAGAGAGAGAGAGAGAGTGTGCGAGTGTGTGTGCTTGTGTATTCTAAGGGCCTCGCCACACTACTCTTGAAAAGTGAAAATGTTTCAAGAGATGTCAGATTTTGTCAAGAGTCCACTTCTTGAGAGTTTAGGGCCCTTGGCCACACAGCGTGCTCCAAAAGTGAACTCTTGAAAACAGGCACATCTGTTTTCAGTTTCTCAAGAGTGCTGTCTGGCAGTGCCGTACTGCCGGTCACTGTGAACGGGGTCTGGTCACCGGCCACGGAAATCATGACTGGTCGGAGTTCACGAAGTTCAACGGGAGCGGGGTTGGTCTTTTTTTGTTTTCTGTTGGATGGGGGGGGGGGGGGGGGGGGGGGGGGGGGGTTCTTTTTTTTTACAGTAACTGTTGTGTATGTGGTGTCCATGGGCACATGCCAATTTTTTTTTTTTTTTTTTTTTTTTTACATAGGGACTCTCTATTTTGTTTATGAAAAAAAAATTCATAAATTTTCGTTTTTTGGCTGAGTTCGGCGTGCCCTTGGTTGCCTGTAGACCCCTATGACGGCAATAATTTGGCACTTCAAAAGAAGAAGACCAATTCAAGAACGTTGCAGATCAAACGGATTAAAATAAAAAAGAGGTCGAATTTCCCGACCGGCCCCCCACCCAGTGGTGTTTGGGGCCGTGGTGCAATAAAGCACCACACCCCGTCTGTAGTGACTGTCCGCATTTGCAAGAGGGAGGCGGTGTCAGTGTGATTCCGTGTGTGTGTGTGTGTGTGTGTGTGTGTGTGAGAGAGAGAGAGATTCCACCGGTGATGCCATTTATTTTTTCCCGTTAAGTGGAGCTTCCCTGCTGGGGCCCTCCCCCAACGGACCCCCCGCCAGCCTCAATTTTTTTCCGTTAAGTGGAGCTTCCCTGCTGGGGCCCTCCCCCAACTAGAGATTTTGTTTTCCCAACCATCTTCACCCCCGTTTTTTTTTTTTTTTTTTTTCAACTCTTTTAGTCAGGGGGGTGTTCACCGCCCCCGCGCATGTGATACGCAACCTCACGCCCCCTCGCGGCTTCCCATACGGGGTCGCTGATCAGAGTTCTAGGAGGGGCGTGGCCGAGGATTTTTGGCCGTAAGGGTTGAGTCTCCCGGACGGAAAGGGAGGCTCTCGTTTCTTGGCCGAGGTTTTTCTCGGAGTCGAACTGTCGTCGCGAAGTCCCGCGGGGGTCAGACTACTCCGAAACGATAAAATCAGAAGGGTTTCTGTGAGAATGACTTGTCGTCGTGCATCGGGACGGGAATAGGCATCAAGGGGAGGAGGCCATGGCGGCAGACGGCAAAAACTCCGGCCGTCATGGGTTCCGGGGATGGGTGGTGGGTTCAAAGCCTTCAGGCCTCGTCATCGGCCTCATGAAGTGGCCGAACCCTCGGGTCTTTTGCCGTAGAGGTGGGTGGTTCGAGGCTTTCAAGCCTCGGCGTCGGACTCATAGAGCCCGCGCGAAAGTTTCCGGGAGGGTAAAGCGGCGGGAGGACTCGCCGGCATCTGAATTCGAAATTGCSCGGGCAGCGCCCCCGCACTACGGGAAAGCTCGGGGAAACGTGTCGCTCCCTCGTAACCCAGGACCAGCCGTCGCCGCGAACACGAGTCCCCCTGGCGACACCAGCGACAATCAAACTGCGGTCGCCACGCGGCGTGAGCGGCCGACCAGGGCAACACCGTTA